GAATGTCCCATGTGCAGCTGAGAAGAATGTGTATTCTGATGTTGTGAGTGGAATACTCTGTAGGCATCTATTAAGTCCCTTTGTTCACAAGTTTGGTTTAGTTGTCTTATTTCTTTGCTGATTTTTTTTTGTCTAGTTAATCTGTCTTTTTGTGACATTAGGGTATTGATATCCCCCAATACAATTGTATTGGTGCTTATTTGATTTTTCATGCCTGTTACTATTTGTTTCATATAGTTGGGTGCACTGGTATTTGTTGCATATAAATGGATTGTTCCCTTTACAAGCATATAATGACCTTCTTTATTAAATGTGTTTCTTATATGCAACACATTGTTGGATCTTGCTTCCTGATCCATTCTGCCAATCTATGTCTTTTGATTGGTGAATTGAGGCCATTAACATTGATGGTTATAACTGATATATATTGACTTATCCTTGACATGTACTTTCCTGTTATTGGATTCTCCTCTCTTTTTCCCCCCTCCCCCTGTTTGTTTGCCTTGCCTGGTAGATTCCTTCTGTTTGGTTGTTATCTCTTTGTAGGATGTCTTGGGAGTGCAAGTTTGGTGGTCATAAATTTCCTCAGATGTTCTTTGTCATGGAAGTATATTTCTCCATCAGTTTTGAAAGGCAGTTTTGTGGGATACATCAATCTGGCTTGAGGATTGCTTTTCTTTAGAACTTGAAATACTTCACCCCAAGCTCTCCTTGACTTGAGGATTTGTGCTGAGAAGTCAGCTGTGATTCTGATGCACTTTCCTTTATAGGTGATTTGTTTCTTTTTCCTAATAGCTTTTAACATTCTGTTCTTGTGTTGAATTTCTGTAATTTTGACTATGATATGCTTGGCTGTAGAATTTTTTTATCATGGCTAATTGGAGTTCTATATACCTCACAAACCTGTATGTCAAATTCTTTTTCTCTAACAGGAAAGTTTTCTGCCATGACATCTGTGAACAGTTTCTTTTTCTACCATTTGTGCTATCTTTTGCTTTTTCATGGACTCCAATAAATCTTAAATTATTCTTCTTTGCCTTATCTACCAGCTACTGTATTTATTTCTCATGGTCTCTTGCTATTTTTCAGAAATCTTTGTTTTCGTGATCGCTAGCTGCAAGCCTGTCTGAGATCCTGTCCTTACACTGGCTTAATCTTCTGTGGGTACTTTCAATGGGAGTTTTATGCTCCTGGATATCTGCTTGAATCTGCCTTATAGATTCCATTTCTTTCCTATACTGAGCATTCATGGCTTCCATAATTTTCTTAAATTCCTCTATTTTTTGTCTGTATCTGCTCTAGGATCACTAAACATGATTTTCTTGTGGACTCCTTCTCTGAAGTTATCTGAGAAAGTATTTCTGATTTGATTTTTTTCTAGAGCCTCATTCAGTTGATCCATTGTTACCACTTCAGAGAGACCAGGTGGGTGGATTTTGGATTGTCCCACCTCATTGCCCCCTGTCTTTGCCTTTTGTGAACTGGATGTCTGGGGTTGCATCTTATTTAAGTATCTTCTCATTTTCTTTTCTGTTTTTAGTTTAATTCCTGGGGTGATGCTTGTAAATTGCCTATGGTGGGTTGCTTTATTGCAATATTTAATATTAACATTTAGAACCCTGAGGAAATGGCTGCTTCTCCATGGTATCTTACAGGTGGAGCTGGGTTTTGGGATTTGAGTCTGTTGCAAGATCCTATGTCTTCAGTTTCTTGGGGATGAGAAGTTGCTGCCTGTTTGGCCCAGCTCCTGGCTCTTTGGCACTGTACCACAGTAATTTTTGTGACCATTAGTTAATCTCAGTCTTGGAATACCAGGAAGAACACCTATTTAGAACAATTATGTCCCTTTCCACTATAGTGGTACCATCAACAGTGACAATAGCATCAAATACAGCCTAGGAAATGACAAATGAGGTAACCATTAATTTGCCATCTTCAACCATATGAACTAGATTTATGGTCATATAACAAAATCTAAAACAAACCAGAAAATTATATGCAGTATACAAGTCCTCAATATGTCAATTTTACCCTTAGGATTTCAAATGGCTTAGGGAGAAAACAGAGAAGTAGAAGAAGAGGAAGAGTTTAGAAGTAAGGCTGGAGGACCAAGGGGGGGGGGTCATGCTACCTTTGGGAAATTGGTGCAGAAAACTGGAGGGAAAGAGAGAAGGGAGAGATAAAAAGAACAGAACGACAACCACAAAGAGGCTAGAAACCATGTTTACACTCACAAAAACAAGATCAAACAATGAAGGAGAAAAACAAAAAACAAAAAACAAAACAAAACCAGCACCATCACAACAAAAAATAAGAGAGAGAGAGAGAGAGAGAGAGAGAGAGAGAGAGAGAGGAGCCTATTTCCAGGTACATCTCTGCTGTTACTGGTAGACAACATGTGGAGACAAGTCCCAATCCATGTTGATTTATCCTAGCAAGCAAGCAGTAGTTTTTTGGCAGGGTAGTGGATAGTGGATAACTCATTGAGCCTGCACCTTCTGGCCAGTGTCAGACTCATTCGGACTGCAGCCGTCAGCATACCTTCTGTGGGCCTGAGCCCTGCTAGGAGCTACTAGATGGAGCTGGCAGCTGCTCTGAGTTCTGAGTTCAGCTGGCCCCTCTCCAAGATGGCTACTGGCCAATTGCTCTCTTGAGTGGGACTACAAAGCCCTCAGCACTCACCACCAGCTAGTGCAGTCCTTTACATGTGCTGCTTCCCTTCACTGCTGCATCTCTCCGTGAAGGCCTCTCAGGTCAACAGCAGTCACTGTGTGTCTGCAGGTTTGAACCACTCCTCTTGCGAAGTGAGTCCTGTCCTGAGATGCCAGCTGCCTCCTTCTTCTTCATTGAAATTTCTCTCTTCACTCTCTCTAGGGGCTGCAATTCACACTTCAGATCCTTTCTGAGTACAGGGGACCCACTTCCTTCCTTCTTGTCTTCCTCACATTGCTATATTCCAGCATCTGAATGGTGATGCTCAGAGAAACTCTTTCTGTGTTGCTTACCACTTCACCATCTTCTGTTTGTCATGCTGATGCTTCTTTCCTGCCACAGATCATTGTTAAGCAAAGACGTGGCACCCTGTGGAGGGGGAGAGTGATAAAAATTTCTTTATAGAATATTATTTTGGGGCCCTTGGCTGTAGATTTATAGTGTCTTGTGTTTAGGGATAGTTATCATTAGCAAGTATATTAGTTTCTTGTGGCTGCTATGATGAATGATTAAAAACTTGGCTTAGAACAACAGAGATGTATCCTCTCCCAGGTGGCAGTCTGAAGTGAAGCTCTGAGCAGGGCCCCCTCCCTCTAAAGGCTTGGGGACTGTTCGTCTACTGCCTGTCTTCTAGGAGTTGCTTGCTTCCTAGACTGATGGCTGCCATTTCTCTAGTTCCTGCTCATATCACCTCCTTCTCCCCGTGCATGTCTGCTCTTTTGTCTTGTCTAAGGACACTCACCACTAGATTTAAGACCCATCTCCTGATTCTGGGATGATCTCATCTCAAGAGCCATAGCTTAATTATGTCTGCAAGGACTCTCTTCTCCAGCAAGGACACAGGCACCATGGAGTGCAGAACTTAGGGTGTGGGTATTTCTTTGGGGGCACTGTCCCACCCCCTACAGCACATTCTCTGAGAATGTGGCACGGAGCAGGAGACAGACCTACCCTCACTGGAGCTGGAACCAGCATGGAGTAGGGGTGGGGGATCTGGAGATCTGGCATCCCACCTTGCCCCCTGTGGCTGGCCATGGCCACGCCTATCTGTTAGCTCAGCTATGTGCCTAGCACTGTACTCACTCTACATAGTACGTTATTCCTGTGAAGTATCACAAGGGTAGAGAAAGGCTCTCCTTTTCCCACTATGGACTAGTAAACCACAGTGTCTGGGGCACTCAACTGCCCCCAGGCACTGCTGTGCCCTGAGTCACGGCCTCCACTTGTGTGCTCTCTCCACTGCCTTCGCTGGTTTGCAGACTTCTCTATGGCCAGAGCTCTCCCTCTGGTCCTGGTCACCATCTATCTTAATGCAAATGGGGGGCTTGCTCTGCTGGGGTCTTTGGCCAAGCAGCAACCAAGAAAGGCAGGCTGTAATCAAAGAAATACAATGGGATCTGGTGTTAGGGCCAGACAAAGCCAGCTGCAGAGCTGCAGAGTAAGCCCAGAAGTTCAGAATCACACTGCCTGGCTTTGGGTCCTGGCTGTGCCTCTTACTCCTGTGTGACCCTGCACAAGTCTCTTAGCTCTCTGTGCCTCAGTGACCTCAGCTGTACAACTGGGGGCTACAGGGATGCTTACCTCTCAGGCACTTACTATGAAGATGAGGTGCATGTCTGTGTGTGCATGTGTTTAAATATATATTACACGTAAAGTGCTGATAGTGATTCCGTACATGATGAACACTGTGCTATTTATGTACAAAAACACAAAGCAGTGCAGAGGAGCACCTACTGGCTTCCTTTGATGCCTGTGTTCATGAATCACTGGAGCCAGAGACCAGCATCCTATCAGAGACTCCTCATCGAGAACGTGGAGCCCTTGAAACATCCAAGTAATGAACCCCAGACTGTGCTGAGCGTTGGCCCTTGGAATGAGATTGCTCCGGAGGGCAGGGGCCCAGAAAGCGGTCCCCAGAATGCAGGCTTATAAAATACCCAAAGGGAGGGAGGCCAGGGTCCCTGGGCCCAGAACAGTGGGGATCTGAAGGCAACCCTAGCACACCTGGGTAGCAGGACACCCTAATGGGGGATGAGATCTAAGAAGGGCCCCAGAGATCAGGACTGTGCAGGGGTCACTCACAGCTTGTTTTTTTTCCCCACAGGCCGATGCTGCTACCAGCTTTCTGAAGGCAGCACGATCAGGTAACTTGGACAAAGCTTTGGATCACCTGCGGAATGGGGTAGATATTAACACCTGTAACCAGGTAAGTGGAACGGAGACAGGCCATTCTCTTGAAGAGCAACTCTTGCCTGTGCCATTTCCTGAGAGCTTTGAAACAGTCTCTGTCCACTTTCCCCTTGAGGCCTCAGAACTGCCCAGGGGCTCCTGCCTGTGAGGTCCCAGTCCGTGTTCTATCCCTGCCTGATCCAGGGTCCCACAGAGAAGGGCTGCTCCTGGCGGGGTCAGGGAGACCACACTCTGGTTCTCCACACCCTTCTCCCTTAGAAGTTGTCACAGAGGATGTGGCTCTTTGAAAGTGGCAGGAGGAAGGGCCTTTGAAGGAGGCTGTGCCAGGGGGCAGTGAATCTCCTTTGTCCACCAGCAGCCTCTATGGGTTCTCAGTCTGGCCAAGGGAAGAATAGGGGACTGAAGACTCTGTGTTAGAGGTTGACAGAGGAGGACTTAGTTCAAAAAGGTTTGCAGGCTTTACATGAGGGCTTCTGACCTCAGAGAGAGGAATGCAGTCTCAAGAGATGGAGAGGAAATGGAGCGTGCTCAGGATGGGTTAGAGTACAGAGAGTCAAGTTTGGGGTTGATGCTCTAGGAACTAATTAGGTAGAGAGCAACCAGGCCCTAGAGGAGCGGGTGTGTGGTTGGGCCCTGTACTGGAGACTTGGTTTTTTGTTTGCTAATCAGTTGAGTTGTTCAGATACATATGCTAATTCAGTTTCTAATTTAGAATCAACTGTCACTCTTTTTAAACTGTCTTGACCATTTAAAAGTTGTTTTCCATTATGATGAAATACTTTTGCCATCTTAGCTGCTTGTAAGTACAGTTTGGTAGTGTTGACACATTCCTGGTGTTATGCAGCTTCCCCTGCTGTCCTTCTCCTGATCTTGCCAAACTAAAGCTCTATTCCCATTAAACAACAGCCCCAGCCCTCCCTCCAGCCACCCTTCTGCTCCCAGTCTCCAGGAACATGGCTACCTTAGGGCCATAGAAGAACTGTGGGGTCCTGCAGCCTTTGTCCCTTTGGGACTGGCTCTGTTCCCGTTACCCAAGTCCTCTTGTTCACCAGTGTGGTAGAAGTTGGTGGCCTGCCACAAACCACAGGGACAAATGCCTGCTGAGAAGAGGCCAGGTTTACTGTGGACAGCACATGCCTGCCCCTCCCCTGCACCCCCTGTGGCTGCCTGCTGTGAGCCTGCAGGAGAACTCACTCTCCCACTTGGAGTCAGTGGTGGTGCTGACTGCCCACCAGAGAGCCGAGCAGTTCGGGGTGCGGCAAGAGGCAAAGCCGCAGCGTGAGCCAGAGGGAGTTGCCCATGGGAGTGGGTGGGGTGAGAATAGGCTGCAGGCCGCAGGCCCTGCTCCTGACCCCCTCCCAACCCAGCAGCGCCAGCAGCTGTGCACCTACAGACCTGCACGCACAGACCCTGAACACCCGTGTGACGGGGCTGAGGGTTGGCCTTCGGGAGATGGCTGGGTGGAAACTAGGAATCTTGGCCTTGGTGGGGGCTGGTGGAAGTAGGAAGTGGGGGACAGTGTGGTGGTCCTGGATGAAGACTCAGGCTGCTGAACCCCATGCGGCCATGCATAGCTGCACGCACTGTAGGTGCACTGTCCCCGCCTGTCCACTGAGGGGGCCGCTGTCTCTTGGGGCCTTCTTGCAGGGCCCAGGGCTGAGATTCCGTGGTGCTGTCTCTTCTGTGGCGGCAGCTTCGCTGGGCTTCTCTGCAGTGCAGTTCCTGGAGGGAGACTCCACCATGGAGGCTTTCCAAGGGTTTGAGCTCGGCTCTCAGGGGAATCCATTTAGCTGAGGCAGGGACAACTGAATATTTGTGAGACTTGAGCCAGGGCTCACTTTCTGTGTGAAACTGGAAGATTTTGATGAAATCTGAGGAATGGCTCCAGCCTGATTGGTCTCCAGGTGGGGTAACTGCCTCATTCCTCTGTGTTCTTAGCCTGGAGCACCTGCCTGGCTCACTGCAGGGTCCAGAGAGCAGCGGGCACCAAGGCAGCTTATTGACACCATTTCGGATGGGCTCAGTGCCAGGACAAGTCACAAGGAGGTGGAGGGATTGTGCCTCATGCTGCGACTGCAGTCCTAGCTACCACCAGCATCTTTCTTCCAGAAAGGCCCAGTTGCAAGTGAGGAAATGAATGACGGAGGGAAATAAAAGAAAATCCTCCACAGCTGTGGCCAGGTCTGTGGCCCTGCTGGCCTGTGTCCCAGAGTCAGTGGCTCTTGGTCACAGGTAGCCACACAGTGAGGCTCTTCCCAGGAAGCACTGGGTCAGAGTTGCCCTGGCTCACTCTGGTTATATAGGGTGGATTGATTTCTGCTTTGGAGGGAGAGGATGGCCCAGGAGAGGGGCTGGAGCGGCCTCGCTGCTGCTCTCATTAAGCACATCAGGGCCCCTGGGATACCGCTTTTTTATCCCACTCACAGGGCTGGCTCACAATGGCACCAGAGCTTTTTCCTCTGTAAAACATGCATTCATTGTTTTGAGAAACTAAAAACAGCTTTTGTCCTAGGGGCCTGGCTCAGGCATTTGCTTTGGGCTCCAGCCTTTGGAGCTGAGGACTGTGATGGATGGCAGTTCCTGCCGTAAGGAACACACTTCCAAGATAGTGTGTCTGGGAAGAGTGTGTGCAGCTCACCATCACAGAAAGTGCTCTAAGCAGCATGGCCAGAGGAGGTCTTGGCCGCTGCAGGAGCCGTCTGCATATTCAGGGCTGTCTCCTTGTTGCACCATCCTATTAATTGTTATTGTCATCATCACTATTTTTTACAGAAAGGAGAGAATTCGTACCTAAGTCACATGTGCACATATATACATGAGGATGCTTATGTGAATGCCTGATTCTTATTTTATTCATGCCCATTGGGCATTACGCCTCTATATCCTGTGTCTTCTAGTGTGTCTTGGCAGGGATGTGGAGTGCGGGGCTGTAGAGGCAGATGAGCAAAATAAGTCCCAATCCTCAGTCTCTATCACCTGTAGTTTGCTGGCTGTGAGAACTGATGACCAAATAATCACACAAATAGATGCAATCCAAAACTATGTTAGGTCCTACAAAAGAAAGGCCTACAGTATTCTGAGAATAGATAAGAGACCTGATGTAGAGTTGGAGGCCGGAGAAGGCTACTGTAAGCAAGAGTGGTGAGCTGGGGTGAAGAAGGTGAAGGAGGGAAGAACGTTCCAGCCATGAGAACAGCCTGTGCCACGCCCCCCAGCAGGGAAAAGACCAGGAGTTTAGGGAGGACCAGAATGGATCACATGCAGGGGGCAGGTAGGACCACAGGATGCAAAATCAGAGAAGAGCACGTCACCCAGCAGCCAGGAGGGTGCACCTCAGGAGCCCCAACATCACCTGCTGCTTCCCTTGTTAACCGTGGAGTTGGGATCAAGGGAAAAGGATTGAGGGTCGGGACAGAGTGGCCAGGGCAGCGGATATGAGGGGTACCTGAGAACTTGAAGCTGCTGGCTAATGGGGACAGAGGGATTTTAGCAATGAGCGTCTGTGCAGCTGTACTGGGGTATCCCTGTTGGATTCCTCCTTGCTTATAGAAGCTGTGTAAAAGATTCTGGTTTTTATCTTGAGAGCAAAGGAAAGCAGACACAGATTCCAGCACAGGAGCTCTGCGCTCAGAGGCGTGCCTTCAAGATCACACTGTGTGGAACACAGGTAGCAGAGGTGACCGAGGGCAGCCAATCATGTGACATGCAGGAGTTGTGGCTGTGGTGATAACTGGGTGGGGCGGGGACAGAGGTCTCCAGAATGACCCTCAGAGTCAGGACTTCATGGTATGTGGTTGGCAGTACCATCCACCAGGACAAGGAATGCTGGAAACCGTGCCATTGGACAACAGGTGGAGAGTTGGGAAGTGAGTGGGGTTGGAGAGCCTGATGAGGAGAGCTTCTGAAGCTTGGTGGAGTGTTAGAGCCTGGATTGCAGGTCAGAGCCTTAACCCAAAGACAGACATTTAGAATTGCTTAGCGCTCGAGGAAGCTAAAAGCTGGTATTGACTGATTCAGACAGGGAGGTTAGAAGCACGTAGAATATAGTCTCATCCTTAACTTGGTGGGACTATCCCACATGTGTTTATTAAACACCTAGTTTGTACCGAGTTCTGTTCCAGGCTCTGCACAAGCTCAACAGAAGAGGCAGTGGTGCCTTTGACATTTATATCCTGGTAAAAGAGACAGCTACTAACGGAGAAAATGGACTATATAAATACCTTCAACTAATGAGAAGCACTGTGAAGGAGAGAGAAAAAGACAAAGGGAGAGGGCCTATTCTATGTGGGCTCATTAGGGAGATGATTTTTGAGAGACTTGGGAGAAGTAAGAGAAAGAAGGAAATGGTTTTTGGGTAACAGCATTCTCGGAGAAGGGGGAATCATGTGCTAAGGCCCTGGGGCAAGAGTAAGTTTGGTTTGTTTGGAAAGCAGCAGGAAGAATGGTGAGCTGGAACAGAATGAGCTAGGTAAAGGGGTAGGCAAAGAGACGGGGGAATAGCCAGGGCCACAGAGTGAGGTTCCCGGGCTGAGGTGAAGACTTTGCTCTAGTGGAGAGCCCTGGAGGTCATGTCTACTCCGTAAGAGATGCTTGGTCTGCCTTAGGCTTTTAAACAACCAGCCAAACTACTGTGGTGTGGTCACAGAATAGACCAAGGGCTCAGGGCCAGGGGCAGGGAGACTGGTAAGGAGGCAGATGTACTGGACAAGTGGAACCGTATGGTGGCTTTGACTAAGGGGGTGGGGAGCCCAGAGGCTGTGTCTCCCTGGATTTGGAGTGTTGTCACCGGGCATGGTGGCCTCAGCAGACACCAGAGAGGAGGCCCTTCCTGGGCTCCAGGCCGTGTTGTCCTTGCCGCCGCAGTGACCACGTAGCGACAGGCTGGTGGGCTCGAGCTTGTGCAGTGTCTGAGGACCTCTCTGGTATCTCGGATGGGCCCTACTATACAGCCTGGCAGAGCTGAGCATGCATAATGTGTAGCACTTTCCCTACAGCACCCAGCCTAGGGTGTGTCAT